GAGTGACAGTTTTGGTATTTTAAAGGGATCGGCAAGGCAAGAAAAGGTGAAGCTACAGAAATTTTTGTACTTTGTAGTCTAACTGACTCGTATCGATGGTCTTAAGCTATGTAATGCTGCAATTTCGAGCCTTTTTGAGTTATGCAGTTTTCAAAAATTTGGTTCCATTTTGAAGAGACCTGATAGAGGTCGATTGGCTGATTGCCAATTAAAAATTTCTCTGCACTTTCTTGTAGTTTGTAGTCCAACTGGATATTTCGACGCCTTTTGAGTCATGTATTTTTCAAAAATCGATCCCCTTCTTTCAGATGGCCAACGGCCCCATGGTACAACCGTCCAGTACGGCCATTCCGCATCGTTCGCGATCTAACAATTATGCCCGGGGCTACACTGACAATTGAGAGCGGCGTTGAGGTGCATATCTGGCCAAATGTACGGATCCTCGTTCTCGGCAATTTGATTGCCGACGCGACGTTCTGGGAACCGATTAGGTGAGGAAATTCAATTTTTAGCTAGATCGTCTGCCAGATAATGTACAAAACTACCGACTGACTGTCAATTGGAAAGAATCCAGACTTACCGTGGCGTTCTAATCTTATTTTTTAGATTCAAACCGATCAACACAACAGAATACGGAGAGAATCGAGGATTGATGAGAGGACGGTATAAGCGGGCTATCGACAGGTAGGTAAATGGGGTTTTATTTCGTAGTCTGACTGGCAGAATGTCAAATGGCATCAAAAATTTCCAATCTGGGCTACAAACTGCAAATTGCCGACCAGTAGAACGACCGATCATATCAAATTTTCAATTATTTCCAAATTCGATTTACCAAAAGGCATTTTCAGATCGCGCCCCGACCCATTGTACGCCTCATTCCCTCAACTCAATCGCTACGATCCGTACTACCAGAAGTTCTCGGTGCACCTGGATACAGATGGGGCAAAAACGTCAAAAGCCGGCTTTCTCCAGATCTACAATGCGACCAGTGGAGAGATTGTGCCGCTTTGCGACCGACAATTTACATTGCGTAATGCACAGGTTTGTATAGGCCGCTAAACCGTGGCTTCTGGTCCCTTAAAGGGACATGGAAGGTTGGCTCTGGCTTACCTATGGATTTTGTCACAGCGCGGGCGCCTGGAATTCAATTGCGTAATCGATTACGCCACGTTAATGGCGGTTAGGCAGCGTGCGGCGCGTTAAGGAAAAATACCTCGAAATATATAGTCGAAAAATCTATAGACTAGCCTTGTCTGCTCCTTTAAAATGACAAACTGGCCTGGGCGCTACGGTAATTCGATAAAAATTCCATCCTATTTGTCATTTTTACTTTCCAACCCAAAAAAATCGACAAACTGGCATGCAAACTACGGTAATTCCGTTAAAAACCTCTTTTTAGGTAGCGTGCCGTGAATTGGGCTGGCCGACAGAGAATGCGTATCAATGGGTGACCCCGAGATGGGAATGGAATCCAAAGATACGCATTCTGAAGACATATGCCGAACCGAGGGAATGCAGAGGGGATGAGCCGAGGATGGAAAAGTCAGTTGATGCCTTCAATGGCCCTTTAAAAACCTGAAAAAGCTAGTCAAATTCTGGTAAAAACTGGGGTTATGCAGTTTTCGTGTTTTTGCCTTCAACGGGCCTTCAAAAAACCAAAATTCCTGAAAGACTGCATATGATGACTGCTTAACAAAAAAACCTTCTAACAAAGTTTAATCATATTTTTAACGCTATTTTGAGTTATTCCGTTTTTCGAAGATTCAGTCTTCAATGTCCATTTAAAAGCCCAAAATCCCTGCGAAAATTAAGAATTTGGATAGCATGCGTGCCAGTTTGACAATTCGCAAAAATTCCGAAAATTCTAGACTTCAATGGTCCCTTAAATTATTAATTTTTTTCAGATGCCCTCTCCGTTTCTCCGGCAATACCTCAGAATGGCAATGCATGGACAATGAACACTTCAATTATATTTATTGCGCGCCAGAGACGAGGGTCAACAGGTGAGATCTATCTGTCACCATCCCTTTAAACTCAAAATTTTTGCGATTTTGTCGGATTTTGAGCTCCAGCAGGTTTTCGCGATCGAAATCTTCCTGTGACACTCCCTTTAAAACCCCGTTTTAGTGATTTCATCGGTTCGTGGGGTGGCATTGTCTTTGCGAACGATCAGGTCGATCAGAATGGTGATAGTCAAGAGACGGAACGGAGTGTGTTGAAGCATGTCGAGATTGTCGGAGGAGGAAGGGCGCATAATAGCTCTTGGCAGGTACCGTAGTTTTCTAAGCAACTTTTTTGAATTTTTTAGGTGTAAACTTGCCAGCTGACAGACAGTTTAAAGATTGCAAATGTTCTTGTTCCTTTCAAGGCGTTTAAAAATATAAAAATCGTATCTTTGGATTCTGAAATTTTTAAACTGAAGATCATTTTTAATGGCGGGCAGTATAACGATCGAAAGTGTCACTGCCCCTTTAAAATGAATGAAAAAATTGAAATTGTGAAATTTAGGGCGGAGCGCTTCTGATGTTCCATCGTTCTCCATTTATCGAAGCGGTTAATGTGACGAATAGCAGTATGAATGGCATCGAGGTAAAAATCGTCTCTCTCTTTCTCTCTCTCTCTCTCTCTCTCTCTCTCTCTCTCTCACTCTTTTCGCTTTCTCTCTTGCTTTCTGGCTGCCAGACGGCCGTTTCTGAAAGTTGGGAGCAAAAAGGAAAAAGCCTGCCGCGGCGGAGAGTCGAACCTGGGTCCTCAGATTGGCAGGCCGGCGCGCTGACCACTTTACCACGGCTTTCGGGCCAGTCGATATTTCTCTCTCTCTCCCTCTCTTTCTCTCGCACCCGCTCTAAATATATATTTCTCGATCCATCGTTTTTCAGATCATCAACCCATCCGGCAACGTCCTCCTAGTCAACGTGAACGTGACAGACAATAATGGCCGTGGTATCTCTATTCTGACAGCCAATCTACAAGCCAATAATGGAGGTTAGTCTCTCTTTTCATATCGTAATCATTTATCCCCTGTTTCAGACCCTCCCTCTGCCCCTCAATCCCTCCCGTATTTCGCTAGAGGGCTAGTTGACATGTGTGCATCAACAAAGAAGATTGATATCAAGGGCCGTCTTCTTCTCTACTATAAATATGATGCACATCCGGTGGATTGTGTCAAGATATTCTCTGCCGGGGGGAAACATATAACGTTCCGGTTCTTGCAAGTGAGTTTTAAAGGGACCGCGAAGCCAGCAGGTCAGGATTCAATGGCGTAACTGGATAGACATGAGATTTTATTACATAGCGTAATCGGTTAGCCATAAAATGCGTAAATTTCATGCCGTAATCAGTTGGAAATAACAATTTTCCTATCATGACCGGATAAAGATGGAATTTTATTACATAGCGTAACCGGATAAGCACAAATTTTTATTCCCTGGTGTAACCGGATACGCATAAATATTTCAAATTTCATTGCGTAACCGGATACAAATCACCTTTTTCCTAGTGAATTCTGAAATTTTCTGAAATTGCAGACGTAGCCGGTTATACATCAATATTTTTCCATTTTCTAGCGTAACTGGATAGTAGCCTCACTCGAAAGATCGAAATCAAGCCTTCCTTATCCCTTTAAAAGCTTAAAATATTGACGAAAAACGCTTTCTATTTCAGGTAAATCTCTACTCTGCCCCGACAGACCTTGGGCGTTCCGATGCCCTACGAGTTTACAGCTCTGACAGTATGCAGCCCTCGACATTAATAGCCAAATATGCCCGAGATATTGATGGAATACCGCAACCTGGTATGCAGTTGGTACTTTAAAGGAAATATGAAGGCAAAATCTACAGGATTTTTTGAGCTTCATTAACTTTGGATGTCATAAATTGCATCTGAATCACTTAAAAATCAATTGAAAGTATGATAGGTATGCATTAAATATTTTTAGACACGACCCCTTTCTCGCAACCAATCGACAATCCGAGCATCTCCCTTCTTGCCCTCCATTTCCGAGGGACGGCAGCGGATCCACACTATGGATTCATAGCGGAGGTGGCTGTCGCGTCGACACCAGCCGAAAATGGTTAGTTGCAACTGCAAACTGCAACTGCAACTGCAAACTGCAAGCTGCAACCCAATTAATTTGGTGCAATGCGATACAAAACAAAAACTACAAAATTCACGTTCAAGCTACATTCTCATTTTGGTCATTCATTTTACGACCCACACGGTTAAGACAAACTACAAACTGCAAAATAGAGCTGTCTGTCTGTCAGACTGTCTAAAATATAGTCCAAACTACAATTAGGCGAGTTCAAGCTACGAGCGGCATTTTTCAGCCGGTGTCGGCGAGGTGGTGATCGCGGCGGCTCGGATGGACAATAATGATCGGGGAGGCGTTCGATATGAGAATACCGGCGAATTGAGCCCGAAGGTGGTCATAGGTACGTCAGCTGTCATTTTCTACGTTTAGCTGTCTGTCCGTCTATCCATTTAGCTGTCGATCTCGTTGTCCACTATCAATTCTGTCTGTTTTTCTTCCAAACTAACGAATTTTCGGATTTTCTGTCCTGACTTCAAATTTAAGTTTTTCTAAGTTGTCGATTTCTCTGTCTGTCTGTCAGTTTGTCTATCTGTCCACCAAACTACATTTTCTCTTGTTTTCAGAAGAATGCTCAATGTTCCGCAACGGTATCCATTTGTATGGGAATATCTCGACCACAATGCACGCTGCCTCTTTCTACCTCCACAATACGCAGCTTCTACTCTTCCGCGCGAATTCGTTGGCGCATAATCGGTCCGTTTTTATACGTTTTTGGATAGTTTGACTGCCAGACTGGCTAGCAGAGATTATTTGAGAATTTTTCGCCGACGAAAAGTCCGAGATTCGAGGAAAATCAAAACCTGCATAACTTTCCAAAAAAACTGCATAACCCAAAATAAAAAGTACATAACTTTTTAAGGACGAATTTTTTACTGTTTTTATAGCTTGACTGGCAGAATGATTAGCAGATTTTTTTGGAAATTTTTCAAACCCGAAAACGCGAAAAACTACTGAAAAATCGAAAACTGCATAAACTCCAAAAACGATATAATTTTCAGGGGCGGTATTCTGATCGATTCGATCTCTGAGACAGCAATGGCTCGTCTGAATGCCGTCATCAAAGCCAATCTCTTCTCCTTCAACACCAATAGTACCGTCATCGAGCTGAAGGGCAATGGATTCCAGGTACGCGTCAAGAGGTGTACTTTGTAGTCTACCATCCAATTCAGAAAGCGACGATGGTAAACAACGTGATATCCCACAACTACGCATTCTACCACGATACGGTGTATGCTGTGGATGTTATTGTGAATATGACGAGGAATACCATCACGAATAATACCGGGCTGCATACGGTAGGTGTTATCGGGAATTTAAGGACGGACGCTGGTAAAATTCAATTGTTTCGCATGGAACTTCTATTCTGGCTGCCACTTAATAGTTTGCAACAACAAACAGGCTAGAAAAAGAGGTTATGCAGCTCTTGAAATACGCTGTTTTCTCCCAGTCCAGCAAAACGCGAATTTAGGCTACAAAGTACAAATTAAATTCTTGTAGTTTGCGCTTTTGACTGCCAATTGTAATTTTTTTATTAGAAACCTGGCTACAAACTACAAACATAACGCTTTGTGGAGTTTTCGAATTCAATAATTGTAACTTTTTTTGTGAAAGGCGTGATTTCGGCTGTCAATTAATCGATTAAACTAAAATTTGGACTACAGAATACATGTAAAATTTACTCATTTCCCTTTTTTTATAGCCAATTGACCGTTTTCAATAAAAATCGAAGCTACAAACTACAAAATAAAGTTATGCAGTGCTAATTTCCCCCGAATTTTCAGCTCGACATCCGCACGGCAAAATCGAAGGGCAATTCGGAGCCACACCTTTTCCTCCGGAACAATTTCGAGTTCAACCATGCCCTCGGTCATGGCCATCAATATATCCAGAGATATGGCCATGAACTTGGGTGGATGGACGAGTTCCAGCTCTACAAAAGGCCGAAAAGACAGGTAGTTACTGAATTTGTAATCTGTATTTTTCATATATTTTTAGGTTTCCTACCCTGTTTTCCGTCAAGAAGGAGTCTCGTTCGATTGGTGGACGCATGTGGACCAGAATACCGATCGATACCGTAGTACCGTATATGCTGGAAGCTCCAGGCAACACTTCTTGGTACGGTAATTTTAAGGTTCTAAACAAAAAAAAACGATGTTTTCGAGTAGAATTTGTCAAACTGGTCGTCATTAAAGCTATTGAAAACACTTTTGAAGAGAATTGCAGCTTTTTGGGGGTAGCGGGGATCGAACCCGGGTCTTCTGGGTGACGGTCTAAACTCTTAGCGACTAGGCCACGGAGCAGCTTTTTTAAAAGCTGATATTTGGAGGCTATGCTTTCTGGTTGCCAATTTATCGGAAGTTATTATATTTACGAGAAAAATATGCAAATCGCTTCGGCGGGGATCGAGCCCGGACCCTCTGCCTGGCAGCCTAAGCTGTTATCCACTGCGCCAGGTTGCAACTTAAAAATTTTTTGCCGATAAAAATTAGCTAACTGTAAGCCAGTTCTCTCAAATTCACCCTCAAATTCACCTCTATTTTTTTCAGGAAAACGTGTTCAACAACCCGGCGAATGAGCTTGACCTGACCACCTCAAATCGTACGAATTGGGATATTGGAGCAGTAGATGCAAAGGAGAACTATTGGGGATGGCCATCAACAGAATCTGTGGCTGCTGGACGGATAAGGGATGGGGCTGATCTACCGTATCTCATACGTGTAGAGTATACTCCCGTATTCGAATCGAATACTTCTCTCATCGAAGGAGACTGCAGAGCCGGGTGGTTCCAGGTACGTTTTTTTAAAGGGCGCGGCGAGGCATGCTATGGATTTTGTCATCCAAGGATTTTAAATGGATTTTGCCGCACCGCGACACGCAACCCGTACGCTCGATATTTCCTTGCGTAATCGGTTACACCACAGAAAGATTTTGGAGCAGCTCGCGCAGGGCGTGCGCGGCAGGAAATAAACCAGCGTTTTTCTTGCATTCAGAATTTTCGACTTTCGTTTTCCTTTGGATTTTTCCGCGTGCCGCGACACGCAATGTGCCACCCATGCTGACTTTTATTGTTACGCCATGGTTACGCCCGATTATGGCGATCAAGCAGCTTGCGCGTCGCGTGCCGCGCAAAAATGTCAGCGTAGGAAAGCCAAAAAATTCCTTATTTATTTTCCCGCGCCGCGAAACGCAACGTGCCAACAGCCTTTAAATTGCCTAATCGATCACACTGGTTAGCGACGTTCGAAAAACAACCGCGTCGCGTGTCGCGGGCGCGAAAATCCATTAAAACTCGATAGAACAATTTGGAGTATGGAATTTTCATGCCGCGCCTGACATTTCATTTTCCTTTTCATTGCGTAACCGTATACGCCCCGCGCAGCGGCTTGTGCGTGGCGTGTCGCAGCAAAATCCATAGAAAGTCCATAGCTAAAAATTCATCACGTTGCGTTGCCGTCTCCTTTGAATTTCACATCTTCTTAACTGGCCATCGTCTTACTGTATATCGTTAATTCTCACATTTCAGGTCGGAAAAGAAGAATACAAGAGTTGCTACCTGTACGTCGGTGGAGCAGCAACTTATGAAAGAGCAGTGGAATATTGCGAAGAACTGGGAGCCTTCCTACTCTATCTCAATGATGATGATCCAAGACAAAAAGAAATGGCCGAGAGGATAGATATGATGGAGAGGAGGGGGTTGACCGAGTTGGAACAGACGACACCTTGGCTCAGGGTATGTCAGATTCTCCGGCTGCCAAGTTCCTTTAAAAGGGGCGGAGCTATTTTTACAAGCTTCTATTGGTCTTTCGGGATCACAAACTACAACTTTCGGCCCTAGAAATTATTTTCGAGGGGAAAAAACAGGTTATACCGTTTCTGACTTTTCGATCCGGGCCAAACGGGCCCCTTTCGTCTTCCCAGTCCCTTTAAAAAAGTGCGGTGTTGATTTTCATCAACTACGGTCAACTTTCTGGAGCACCAACTACAACTTCGATATTCCAAAACTATTTTCTAAATGATTATTTTCTCAATTGTGCTAAATTTTTTTCGGCCCGGATCGGCTAACTGGTCTATAAACTACAATTTATACACGTTCGAAAAATTTCTAGATACAGGGTGTCTCAGGATTATCCGGACAAAACGAAATAGACATTTTTTTCGTCTTTTCCGCTGTTTTCTGCCAACCTAATGTATTTCATATGAGTATTTGAGGCGTTTTCAATGTTTTGTGCAAAAAAAAATTCTTAGAAGACGCATTAATAGTTTCAGAATCAAGCGAAGAACGCGGTAAGATTTTTCACCTCTTAAATACCACGAAACTTGGAGCAAAGATTCAAAAAGTATTCCGACGTTTTTCTGGACAAGATGTGACGTTTTCTGGCAAAACGGACCTGTTTGCGCCAAAGTTTGGTCGTTTCAATGAATATTTTCTAATTTAATATCAATTTCCTATGCATTGCTGATAAGGGTGTTTTGAAGCTTGCTCGTGCTCAAGCTCCTCAGAAATGAAAGTTAACTTGGTCTAAATTGCTCGTGCATCATTGTTACTGTAGCTATTTATATTTTTATCATTTTAAAAGTATCTTATCGGTTTTTTTTAGGGTTACTCCGGGCCAAGTCATGTAAGGTAAATACGGCGGCGCATGACCTCATTTCATCTTTTTTGCTCGCTGATTTTTTCCTAGAGTCAACTTAGCATTTTTTGGGTCGAGCAGAGCATGGACTTATCATTTCCGACCTCTTCCTGTGGTTTCTTCGTTATTCCGGTTATATCGAAGCTTTTTATAGCGTCGGAAACAGTACGGGTTTTGAGCGTTTGCCAGATTGGAGAAATTAGGTTCAAACTTCTCCTATTTTTTACGAAGCGAGATGTTGGAACCACGCGCAATTTTCTTTGTCAACGCCTCGAAAATACCTCAACGATTGATAGAAACTACGCGGTGTGCGCATAAAACAGGAAAAAATAGTAAGAAATGGCATTGAAAGTTTGTCCGGATAATCCTGAGACACCCTGTAGATATTTCGGTTATGCGGTTTTTCAAAGAAAAAAAAGCCGATTTGCCCCATCTTCAGACCCGCGACGACATCCATATTTGGGTCGGATCGGCTTCATTTGCCTGGCCACAGTGTGGATATCTTTCAACACGGACCAGCAGAACACAATATGACAATTGTCAAGCGCTGCGGCCATTTGTCTGTGAAAAGGGTGAGTATCGATCGATTAGACGTTAGCATCAAGCTTAATTTTTCGGAAATTTTAAGATTTCAAAATTTTTTTGGCTTTACCGACCTCTTTGGCGGCTGCCAGCTGAACCTATTAAGAATTTTCAAAGCCTAAACTTACGCTAACTGCCGTATAATCATTACTACCCGATTTTCAGGAATCCTCGCCTACAAAGAACCACCACTCTGGCGTCGTGAAGTGGTGCTCTTCGTCGTGCTAGCGGTCGTTGCCATCGTATTCCTGATCCTTCTGGGATGTTGTTGGTGTCTCAAGTCAAAGCGTCGTACCGAGGAAGCCATCGTACGCAAGAATATCATGAGGGCCAGTATGGATTTGGAAAAGTGGGTTTTCAGCGGTTCAATGGCCTCCGCTAGCTCGCCTGCCTGACAGCTAAGAAAAATAACTCGTGTATCGTGTTAACTGACAGGCAGACTACAAACTGCTGCTAATAATTTGAATTTAAGAAAAAAGAAAATGCGCTTCCAATCGGCATATGGTTCTTCGCAAGGGCCGACCCACGAAAGTGCGTTGGGGAGTATTTCCGCTTCTCCATTACATGCATATGGCACTTCGAATTATTATTCAAAGAGGTAAGGTAGAAAAAATAGAATATATGTAAAAAAATGGCTTAGAAGTCAGGGAGCTGATTCGCCAACCGCCTCTACTAATACCTATGAGACGACGAGCGCTTTGTAAGTTGTAATTCGGAATTTTTCGTTGCCTGTCTATCTGTCTTTTTTTCTGGCTGCCATATTGCCGTTTCCGAAAGTTCCGAGCAAAAAGTAAAAAAATTGCCGGGACGGGGAGTCGAAACCGGGTCGTCAGATTGGCAGGCTGGAACGCTAACCACTTGGCCACGGGATTCGACGGCGTTTTTTCGGAAAATTCTTTCACTCCATCTCACTCGCTCTCTCTCCTTACACTCTCTTTCCAGTTACTCCTCCCGTACCGGAACTGGCACCACTCCAACCCAATCTCGCACAACCCGTACGAGAAGCTCGACCCGGCCCACAGACTACACCCAATCTGAGACGTACTACGGTAGCCGAGATCCACCCCGGCAAAGAAGTCTCGTCAACTTGACCCCGAATCCATATTCTGATGGGGCTACGCAGTGCACCTCTTTCCAGCCAGTCAAGGTAAGTGGTTGTTGTTAGTTGTACAGGGTGTCTCAGGATTATCCGGACAAAACGAAATAGACATTTTTTTCGTCTTTTCCGCTGTTTTCTGCCAACCTAATGTATTTCATATGAGTATTTGAGGCGTTTTCAATGTTTTGTGCAAAAAAAAATTCTTAGAAGACGCATTAATAGTTTCAGAATCAAGCGAAGAACGCGGTAAGATTTTTCACCTCTTAAATACCACGAAACTTGGAGCAAAGATTCAAAAAGTATTCCGACGTTTTTCTGGACAAGATGTGACGTTTTCTGGCAAAACGGACCTGTTTGCGCCAAAGTTTGGTCGTTTCAATGAATATTTTCTAATTTAATATCAATTTCCTATGCATTGCTGATAAGGGTGTTTTGAAGCTTGCTCGTGCTCAAGCTCCTCAGAAATGAAAGTTAACTTGGTCTAAATTGCTCGTGCATCATTGTTACTGTAGCTATTTATATTTTTATCATTTTAAAAGTATCTTATCGGTTTTTTTAGGGTTACTCCGGGCCAAGTCATGTAAGGTAAATACGGCGGCGCATGACCTCATTTCATCTTTTTTGCTCGCTGATTTTTCCTAGAGTCAACTTAGCATTTTTGGGTCGAGCAGAGCATGGACTTATCATTTCCGACCTCTTCCTGTGGTTTCTTCGTTATTCCGGTTATATCGAAGCTTTTTATAGCGTCGGAAACAGTACGGGTTTTGAGCGTTTGCCAGATTGGAGAAATTAGGTTCAAACTTCTCCTATTTTTTACGAAGCGAGATGTTGGAACCACGCGCAATTTTCTTTGTCAACGCCTCGAAAATACCTCAACGATTGATAGAAACTACGCGGTGTGCGCATAAAACAGGAAAAAATAGTAAGAAATGGCATTGAAAGTTTGTCCGGATAATCCTGAGACACCCTGTAGTTTGTATTCTGGGGTGCAGACTGTCGAAAAAATCAACTACATGTCTAGCGATTTATAAAATCGATACCTTTAGAGCCGCTCAACGGCCCAATCGATACATGACACTTCATATACAACCGCCTCTTCTTCCGAAGCCACGACGCCATCGAGCTGTTCTACATGTCCGACCGGGGATCGCGATTCTACGCTGACCGAGGGGTCCTGGTACGTTTTATGGGCCTTCTGGGATACAAACTACAAAATACACAAAAATGCGCAAAAATAGGCAGTCCCTAAAAAACTGCATAACCTGCATAACCGGTATAATCTGGCCGACCAAATGCTAAAATTGTACCTTAACTTAGGTCCTGATATGTTTTATAGGCTAGCTGGAGTCCATACTACAAAATACACCAAAAATCTGGGGAAAAATTAGCGTTTTCCAAAAAACGGCATAACCCGCATAACCACGTAATTTCAGGAGCGAAGTGAGCGACGGGATGCAGAGACCGCTGGTGGGGGATAGACAGCCGATGGCCACCTCTAGACATCGCCCACCACCCAGAGTAGAAGAAACCGGGCCCAGATTTACGCAGGCTCGTAATAGCCAGCGATATGCGAGGAATAGTCCGTTGATGTCGAGGTTGGTTATGCAGTTTTGGAGGAATCGTCTTGTTGTCTATAAAAATCTATTAAAATATTTTCAGATATCAAGCGAAAGAATGACAGAGATTTTAGCAATCGAGATAATTTTTAAGTCATGGAGTTTTTCAGAAAAGGATCTTTTCGCCGAGAAAAATCAGTTTTGAGATTTTTGTAAGTTACGCCGTTGAAAAAATCCAAATGTTCGTCTGGGCAAATTGCTTTTTAATTTTTCATTAGGAAAAACTGATACACTGACCGAAAGTTTATCTAATGCCAAAATTTCAGGTCAAACCCAGCCCTGTACAACCCGCTACCACAAATCCCCGCCATACCCCCAATCGAGACGACCCTTCCAAGCCATCGACCAGCACCAGCTAGACCCCTCGTTCCTCCAAGGACCAGCGTTGGCCAGAATCTGGGAACCGGACGCTCGCAAGGATACGGTATCCCTGTCACCCAAACGGGTCCTCCCACCCGGTCACTTGTCGATCTGCATGCCCCTCAAAGGAGAGATCCCCTTCCACAGGTTTCTACCAGTCCCCATCCTACCAAGAAGCATATCGTCGAGACTACTATGTAAACTGACCCTAAAAGTATCAAAAAGTGCGTGGGAATTTGATTTTTGAAACGTTTTTGGGTTATGCCGTTTTGATACTTACTAACTGGCTATTGGAGGTCACGAAATTGCCATAATAATCTGTTTTGCGATGAATATTGAGTTTTGCCGTTTTTCACAGTGTTCTAATTGTCGATATAAGGTTTCAAAATTGCCACCATAATTTTTTTCTCTAACGATTTTGAGTTATGCAGTTTTTATTACAACCGAAGCCGACCATTGAAGACACGTAAAATTCGATTTTCCGATAGAAGTTATGCCGTCTACAAAGTTGAAGTTTTTGCAGGTTTTGCTGGCAATCAGTTTACGCAAAATTAACCTCAAATATTTACTGTAAATCTATTTAGCGTAATGCAGTTTGCAAACTTGCGAAAGGAATCCAACCCCAAATCGATTCCCCGCATTTTCCAGTGATGCCGTTTTTCTCAAAAATCCCTATTTTTCAGCCCCGCTTGCCTCTAATGCCTTTCTAAGTTTTTTATAATATTTATTGAATACCATTTTGACCAATTTGAATTATTGTGATGTTTATAATCCCGTAATACTCGAGATTCCCCTCTTCTCTCATCCCCATTGATATCTATAGCTATAGCGGGTACCCTTCCACTCAAGTGATATCACACATTTCCCTCATTGCTCCTCACAACGCAATAATTCTCCAAATATCTTCGTATTGTGTGCCAATTAGAGTTTTCGAATAAATACTTTATATTATTACATCCTTTATACAGCCCGTGTAATACCGGAAAGACATTTGGAAATTCGTAAAAAATACAGAAATATCGGATTATTCAGCTTTTAGCCGGGGCTCGCTTTGAGAATTCAAATCGGCTACCGTATCCTTGTTATTGTTGTTATTATTGTTATTGACCAGGTCGTCAATCTTTTTACTGTCATCCAGTGTAGCAGTTTCTGTATAAAAATTGATTTTTGAATCAGTGAAATAGAAAATACCTTCAATTTCTTCTTCGACAGCCAATTCGTCCGGTTTCTCGAGTTTGACAGCTGGGAAACGATCCTAAAATTATGCTTTATGTTTTTGACAAGTTTATATGGTAAACTGGCAGCCATTTTCCCAATTAAACTCATAGTTATCGAAAATTAGTGGACCCCACCTTGGCCTGTATCGTCAAAACGACGCCAATGATGAAAAATGCGGCCTGGGTGGAGAATGCCTCGTGCAGGGAGGGGAATAGACGCTGTTGCATTTGGAGGGAACGCACGAAGAAGATTACCTGGACTTAAAAAAATATAAAAATTAAAATTAAAAATGTACAAATTGCTATAGATAATATGGTAGGAAAAATTCAGGATTTTTGCAAAAATTAAATAACGCGAAACTAATTGTTATTGCGTGAAAAATACGATCCGATACGGTAAAGGTTTTTTGCAAAAAATGCGGCAAAATTTTTGTAAAATCGGGTTTTTAAAAGTTTTGACTTACTAATCCAACAGCACAGCTCAAATTCCATAATTTCTTCACGGTGTGGGGTTTTGTGTAAAATCCGGAGCAACTGAAAATCCAATAGATGGATCTTAAAACTACATGATACTTACAATAGCATCATGGCAACCGAAATAACCTTCAACACGTCATGGAGTATCCGCTCGTATTCGCCGACGGCGCGGAGTTGTTGGATTACTAAAAAAATGGAGTTTAATAAAAACTGTAGTTGGTAGTCTGTAGTTTATCGATATTAACACTTATTGTCGATCAGAAAGTAAAATACCTAGCGGTCCAGCAGATATCTCGGCCATATTTGTATCAACTGGGAGGTTTAGGCACCTACAAAACCAAAATCTAATTGATTACGCAATGAAATCACCCACCAAACATATCCATGCATCCATAATGGGCTGTAGAGGAAATCGTTAATTTGCCAGGACAAAAATACAGCCCATGTGAATCTGAAAAAGAGCAGGGATTCTTGAGGAAACACGATTTTTATAGAAAACCCACCTGTGAAGTACCGCCAATATCTTTCGAAACTGGGCCTCGGTGGCCGAAATTTCGGCCGGATCTTCCGGAGGTAAGAATAGCATTTTTATTTGATGTTTAAAGTCAGGGTATTGAAGCTGGAAGACAGAAAATAGGTAGAAAGAAAGAAAAGGGACTAGTAGACAGTCTGTGCGCGGATCGATCCTTCCAGGAAATGCAGCCAGCCGTGACCTCGTTTCTTTTCCCCCAGAACCCAGAGACGGAACTAGGAAGACTGACTGACTGTTGGACAGGCAATTAGCAAGTAGGTGGACGGGAGAAATCATAGATTTACTTGTTTTGTATCCATAATGCAGATTAAAATTTGAATACATTTGAGATATCGCGTTTTTCAAGAAAAATAACCGAAAAACTTTTGCAGAACTGAACAACCGAATTTTAATCGCAGCATACTGCCACATGTAAAAAAGTAAATACCGTATTGAAAAAAGCAGAAATCTGCAGAAATCCAAGCCCTCATGTCTTGGTTAGGTTATGCGGTTTATGCAGAAATCGCAGTTTTTTCTGAAAAATCGATCGCTGTGACCTGTTAGGGACTCTGAAATATTAAAGGGATCAGGAAGGCCCAGGAAAAACCAGCATAAAACGAGCTTTAGTTCTAAAATCGGCATAAATGTTCTCTGCTCCCTGCTTACTCGCCCCACACTCTGCCGATTTTTTGATTAGCATTTCCGGTAGGCTTGTTGCCAATTCTAGATCGGCCTTGATCTACTGGGCCATCCTTATACCGTTAAGCTCTGATGTGCCGTGTCGTGCAAAATCTTTGGTGGAATTATGCAGTTTTCACAATAATCCAAGTATCGAACTTTATCAATTTCTAAGTGCCTGCATTCTGTGTTCTGCCCAGTTCGCAATAATTTATGCGTACGCGTCCACTCTTTGGTGTTATATATACATCGAATACTATCTTCAAGTAGCGGTATCCCGTAGTATCTAGTTGATGTAGATCCAGTCGGCGTTTCCGGGGAGCTTGATCTGGCCGATGGTCTTGCCTCCACCATTCAAAGAGATCCCGACTTGCCAGTTGCCCTGAAAATCGGAAATTAAAAATGATAAATAGCCAAGAAAACACCTAAAACTACAGGGTGCGGCAAAAGTATTGTCGCGAGCTTTTGCCTCATATCTGATTCGCGACAAAAAACCGGGAAGTTTTGTCAACAGGATTAGCTTCAGACAGGTCCAAGGCAGCAATCTGCTTTTGAAAGTTTCTTGGAATCATGATTTTTGAGCGATTTTCATTGCCTGATGTACACGACCAAAAATCACGGTGCGCCGCGTCCTCAGTTCGTCGAAATAGGGTTCTAAATTCGGAGACTACGTGTCACCATGACTTTTCATATGTGTTTCTGGTAGCATTTGCTTTGTTCTCCGTCGTCCAAAATGGAAATCTTATAATTTTGTGATTTGAAGGAGTTATGGCCTCAGCCATGTTAGACGAAAATGGGCTAATCTGGCCGGTTTCGCGAGACGCTTGGGTTTTTTGGGTTTTTAGTTTCTGAAGGGGCTCTCAGGGGATGACGTAACAGTATATTATTATGCTTCCTGTTTGCTTATTTTAATGTGCATGATGCGCTAAATCCTGATCGCTATCCACCTCTGGTTTGAAAAAAATTATTTTGCATTTGCAAGCAGTCCTGGAAGCTTATGTTTTCGAACCAGGTCAGCTTTACTAGGCACAAACTTCGGGAATATATAAAAAGTAGCATGGATCAACCGGAGAAAAATTAGCAAGGCTATCATTGCTTTGCGGACGACACAATCTCGCTTTTTGCTTACGGGGCGGCCATGTGCGGCGCACTGGGTTTGCCTCTTCTTTGAATAGAGCTCCCTCAAAAAAAGAGCCGCAACATTCTTTGGTTGATGGTTTCTCAGGCAGAGTTTTACATGCTCTTTCAAATTAAATAAGAAGCTTGGCGTAGATACCATTCTTTGGCCACCTAGTGAGCGCCTAAAAAGCAGTTTTTAGGCTTGAATGTGCCGGGCTTTTGGAAAAAGTTGTCCTAGCGACAAAAAAGCAAAAATTCTGGAAGTAAAACTTATCATCGGATAAAGCATTAAAAACTGCATAAACTAAATTTTTGGCTAGGATATCTGTCAAATTTCCTCGCAGATACAGTCGGCGGAAAGTCGCGACAATACTTTTGCCGCACCCTGTATAGTATATCCCTTTGCAGACGGATCTTTGTACTTTCAGCCGATTGACCGGAATAAAGATAAGGGTTTATGGTTTTACGGTTTTCAGGGGCAGGGGCTGAGTTGTAATTTTCGGTTAAAATGTCTGATAAGAGCTGGGAGTTGCCAATGGACGGGGCTGTGTTAGGGTGTGTCCCAGAATTTTATGCGATCTGGACAGAAATGAGAAGAAAAAATCCAGTTGGAAGCAAACAATTTAGAGAACTTCATCAACAAAAACTTGGGTTTTCAAAGTTTTCACCTATGGAGATTTTAAATTAAATTAAAGTATTCATTTACACTAGTCTTTCGATAAATTTTTAGGCGGAAAGCATGGTTTTAAAAGTTCCTGACTCATAAAAGTTTAGATTGCATTAACATATCTATTTGGTCAATTTTCTCGCCAATTTAATCACCAGAAAGCAAATTTTTAAAAGCCCAAATCTATAAAACGACGAAATTGGGTTTCTATACCTCTAGCAATTATCTTTCTGCGAAAACCTGATATCGCAGCATTTTGCGATAATCTGACAGCCAGAAAGCCTATACCAACCTTAAGAATGGAGTTGATAGCTCCATTGATGTTGGGGAGAGTGATGGTGGAAGTGATGTTGAGATCCTTTTCAATCGTGGCCAAATCATAGGTTCCAGGGGTTCCCATCAGCTTGCAAAGATCAGCGCCCAGCAGGCTGCACACATCGGTGATCTTGCTGGAAAATGGCGGAAATTCAAGTAAATTTGCAATCGAAAACTAACTCCGAAAGAGAAAATTAAAGCAAAAAAAACTGTAAAACCCACCAATCCTTGTCCGGGAGGATAGGGTTCTTGCTCTTGCCATTATCGCAGACAGTTCCGACGAGGAGAGAGTCCTTCTTCAGGGAGAGCTACAAAAGAAAAGATTATATTATTTGAAAGATACTTACATCCGCCTCATCTTGAGTCAAATCGTTGGCAGCAGTGACCTTGATGTCTCCTGAAAAACACAAATAAATTATTTTCGCTTAAAACAAGCAATCAAATGTTATACCGTTTCTAAATCTACTAAATTGTCAAAAAACTGGATAACTTAAACTAGTCTAACCTCTACTATTTTGTATTTCTATAGTCTCGTAAGTTATGCAGTGTTTAGAATTTTCAAAAATTGCCTATTTTTAGGTTTTAGTATTTTATTGTGTTTATTGGAGACCAGTTAACGAAACAAGGAAATAAATTAGTTTAAATTGATGGCTTTAAAAAGTTAACTAACCGGAAACAAGCTTGATGACACCGGGGAGGTTGAGGGACGGGGCATTCTTCTCACACACTGGCTGCATGTTGGCATCGTAGGTCTGGACGACAACGTTTTCGAAGTGGATCGAGAGGCTGGCTTGAAACAAAATATTTTAAAGAATAGGTAAGTAATCCACACCATCATTAACATTGGCCAGTGTGAAGGCATTTTCCTTTCCATCAGTGCACGCGGCCGAGATGGCCGTTGCGACGACGGCAAGCAGGGATACGTAGCGAAGCATCCTGGAAATGGAAAGAAGATTAAATTTGGAGAAATTGACAGCCAATTCAAATACAAATCTATACATCAAACTTTAAAATTGGTGTTAGTCAGGAAAAGCTAGAAATACAAAACACAACCATGCCTCGCATCGTTAAAAAGTTATACGCTTTCTAGTACCCGAAAAACAGTCGGATTTAGTTTTATGTGATGAGTACTATCGCTGCCCCTTTCCGGAGTTTTTCAGTGCTAATAACCCTATCTAACCGTTTCAATAACCATCTCGACTTAGATTCCTCAGTTTTTATGAAAAATCTCTAAAACACGATTTTTTTCAATTTTTCCCGTGAAATATCAAATTTCCGAGTAAAAATGCCTAAACTGGCAGCCGTACTACCCTGGACAGTGAACGTCCCGACCGGAAAAAAAAGATAAAGATGCCTCTCTGTCCCGTATTAATATATACGAGAAGCCGTGTGCTTATCTGTCCCCCTATCACCGCGTGCCGATGGGACGTCAAGAGGAAAAGCCGGAATGCGGATTGCGGGTCCAAGAAATGGGGGAGGGAACAGGATTCGAGGCTAGCTGTATAACACACTGTTTATCGGAAGTGGTCTTCGGACTTTTTGGGGGCTGATCTTCCGGCTTCAATCTAGGGCGGTTGCAAGGCGTTTGGAAAACTGCATCAATTGGAAGTGGCCAGTTTTTGATGTAAAAAAACCTTGTGAAATGTTTAATTCCAAGTCATTTCGCTAAATATAACAGGAAAAAGCTAAAAAAAGTGCTTTGAAAGGAAATCGGATGGCAAGACTTTAATTTGCGCTGTGAATAATCTGCAAAGTCACCGCTTTAGTTGTTGTCGTGTTTCAAAATCATAACTGAGCGCAGACATATCTCTTTAGTAATTCCATTCCTGCTTGGTAACGAAATTGTAAACTGTCACAAACTATGACGCCTCCGTTTCGGCCGTGGTTCGAATTCCGTTTCAGAATCCGTCTCGACGCTTGATTCGGTACTCCTAAAAGAGAAGTGTATGGGAAATTTTCTGCGACCAAAAATGGGGGGCCATGGACTTAGCGTCTCAGCGGCCTTCTATCCTCTCTTCTCTTCTATCTTCTATATTCGGGGCGAGAATTCCATGTGCCTGGATTGTTCTGATTGATATGCAAGCCCGTACGGGAACCGAGATTTCAGGGGGCACCCAACCCAAAAAATTTTGACGACCCCGCCCAAAAAATGATGCATTAATGAAAGCGAGCGCCGCAGGCAAAAAGTTTTGGAAAACTAGGTTTTATAGAAGTGCAGCGACCAAAATGTTGTGCATGACGCATCGAATTTTGTACACGATGGTGTGCCCCTGTGGTTGGGATATTTGGCAGGAAGCCCCGAATTACGCCCGTTTCGACCCCCAGAAAATCCCCGCCACCAACCGGTCTCTTGTCTGTCCTCTGTCATTCCCGAAATACATACCGTATCGGGCACCCGCTGCCGATTTTTCAGCGCGTTAGCGTGTCTATCGGCCGTTTTTACGTAGGAGGGTTGGATTGGTCACAGCATAATTTAAGGCGCTGAGTTTAGGTATTTTTTCGCATCATTGTTAGGTCATAAAATACTTCGATATTGTTTATTAGAGGAAAATCCGGTGAATGTAGGGTGCTATTTGAGGGGTAAGGCGAATGGTTTCCATGCGACCAGCCAGCATATCACATCATTGTACAGGGGTCAAACGACGACAACATGCGCGGTTCCTTTCCTAAAAAACCAAATTTCTATGTAATTTCAGTATAAGGGCCATCCCAATGGCCCCCCGCCTTTTATATCGGGTCAGGAGGGTCGGATCAAAATAATTTTTGGCCAGTCGATAACTCAGAGAGCGGTCGATTTATGATCTTTTCATTATTTGGAGCTTGTATGAAGATAGAATTTGACAAAGGATTTTGTAAATAAATGCAGCTTCTACATTTGCATCTAAGAGCCTGTTCTCAACTGTTGCCCTTTTTGCACAGAAATAATCGGCCCCTCTGGATGTGGTGCATCATGTTTTCTTACCATCACAAATTTTGACAATCATGTTTAAACAATGACCCGATTAAATAAAACCGTAAGCATTGAAATTCTCGCCTGCTTCGTCATGTTAAAAAACGGTAGTGCTTTTCGAATGGTCCAAAAATCTTTTTTTTGGAGGCTCCTGGATCGGGATAACCGGTGTTGTTTTTGGACACCTTGTACTTACATTATTTGGTCCCAAAACCTGTCCACCAAGGTTTGCCATATATCGGGATCCACTTCGCCTATAAGCATGGTATAATTCAAAACTTCTGAGCTCACTCTCGTTGCAATCTGGGCGGTATGAATCCCGCATTGCATACAAGAACCATGTTATGTTGGATAGTCGGACCGGGACGAATCTCACAAAGGTAGCTTGCTCCACGGAACTGACTATTTTCATATTTGGATAGATGAAAGTGCTGCGGTTCATCGTGTGATTATATTCAAATAGGAGCGCTTGCGCACCGTTGCATAGTTTCATCAGCACGAAGAAGAATACCCAGGGCCCTTTTTTTGCTTTTTTAATATCAGCGCACAATGTCGATATGTAGTAGTCGACGCGACGCGAGCGAATACACCCGCGAAAAATGTATAGCAAAGCACGTGTCAGCAACGTATCCTACTATATATAAAAAAGTAGTGTCTGTGTGTGTGTCTGTGGACACTTTGCATAAATGACTCGAAAAAACCGGGTTACCAAGATATCGCGAAGGGGGAAGGTTTTTCGGGCCCAGTCGAAAGGTATTTAGGGGTATTCGAGGGCGTAGATTACTGCACGCTTATCAGATTTTAAGAAAATGACGATTTATACCTTATTTTAGTGTTCTAAAAATATATGGAAATGCCCTCATTTGCATACGAGGCCCTAGGAGGCTCATTTTGGATTTTGTCACGCTCTCAGTCGGTCGCTTTTGTGATTGTTAAGGTTGAGAGGTTGGCACTAACTCGCTAGAATTATGCAAAGTGCCCAACGTCTTAAGATCCCCGCGCAAAGGCCAGGGGTGAAAAGCCGCGTCGCGGCTTTTCAACCCTGGTATTCGTTAAAATAGTCGCGTTGGTCGGTTGTTGCGCATGCATGATACTTGATGCGGAATTCAAAATCAGTGTTTTTTGGAAATCCATTTTCATTGTCATTGACTATATCACACTGCCCCCCGTGACCTTGATGTCGTGGAGGGATACCATGGAGGAAGAAATAGCCCGGGAACGGCTGATCCTGGGTCGCCGACATCAGGCTGTAAAGATCCCAGTCCATATTCGGTATCATGTCAGGCCCGCCCGCTATCATCTCGAACAGGCCCTTCGTTTCAGGAATATCTTGAAGTAATTGGCGCTGTGTGCGTAGTTTCCTTTCGAAATCCGCACGAGCTTCGATTAATGCTCTTCGAATTTGTTCATTATTCAATGGTTCTTTCTCTTTCGTCTCATGGTACAATAAACGCTCGCAATTACGGCGGATCTCGGTACAATCTTTCCGTAGGAAAATGTCATAATGCTGCAAGTAATACCAAGAATGCCGTGAACCTTCAATGTGTGCAATTGGGTAGATGGCTCTGACTGTGAACAACTTTCTCAATTCTTCGATATCATGAATGGTTTCATTCAGTAGCTGCAACAGGTCCCAAGCAGGAAGCGTTCCTTCATCCGCTTCAATCAGTTGTTCAATTCCCAGAAGCTGAGAGCCCCATTGTTGGAGGGCGTCCCTCCTAGTTAGAAATATAAACGTGCCCATGATTTCTGATAGTGGCTTTTCGAAGTTTAGGGCAGCATTAATCACTGAAAGCAGTTCTGCCCCGGGGGTTACAGCCTCCATAATCGTTTTGTATAAGGCTGGAGCTTCCACTTTCCAATATTTATCCATCATCTCAGCCCATGTGTATTGCTCCCCCAAGGAAGCTTTGCACAGATTTTCCAAAATTTTCTCGCACAGTTGTTTTCTAGTCATTGTACAGACTTGATGGTCATCGCCCTCACAATCGACTAATTCCTCTCCCTCCTGACACAGCTTTTGGGTGTCTTGAAAGTCACCGGCGATGAATTCGATAGTGGTACCTAACTGCTCTTTCAACTCAATTAACAGTCCTTCTCGCGGTTCAACTTTTGCACGGCGATTGTTTGGCAGTTCGCGAGATGAATTAATCGCCGTGGAACTTGAAATCGAGGATGATTGGACGGCGGCCAGGGAATTCGAGGAGCCATCTGCGCTTTCTACCTTCAACCCGGTCGGTGTTTCTAGTGTTTTGTGGTGTCGATCCGGATTCGGCTTTGCGTGTAAATCCTTGAATTCCTGCCATTTTTTTATTAAAATTGTATATTATGTGTATTATATACCAGCGAAATTTCTTTGCATAATTCTAAGGCTTTCTCCACGCTAAACCGTTCTTCGACTTTCCGTGCGGTGCATCTGAGAACATGTTTTTTTGTATATTCTGTAGGGCACATACCCTTCTACAAGTTTCTTAATCGTGGCCAAATGTTCTTCCTTCAATAACGCATCGATATTTTGATTCCCGGGTCCACTATAATTGTTCAATTACCGATGGTCAGCAAGTCATGTTGTTATTTTCGAAAACATGTCGTGTTTGAGCAAAAATCGAAAATGCAGCGCTCTTCCTTTTTCCAATCGGATCCAGATTCAAATAACACCTTAATCGCGAAAGTTACCTCCTATTAACCATGTCCAACACAACCCATCCAGCTCCATAAATATCGCATTTATAAGCGTTCTAAATCGTTCGTATTTGTCCCATTAGCCGTTATATGATAACCTCGCCAACCCTTGTTTTGAGCATTTGCACTTCAGGTGCCATATACGCAATTGTGCCACCTCCAAATTTTAAACTACCCTGCAGCTCGCGAGCAAATCCGAAATCTCCCATTTTTAGGATATAGTCATGGCCATATATAAACAAACTAGCTTTAAGGTAATAAAGTTTCCATGTCTCTTACTTGGCTGGTTTGACATCATGATGAACCATTTTCTTGTTTTTGAGATATTCGAGAGCACTGAACATCTCTGTCGACCATTTGGCAATTGTTGCCATTGAGTACTCCAAGTTGGTGTCAGCGAGAACTAAGAAAACTTCTCCTTGATCACTCCAAATCCTCCCAAACCATCTGTTAGGGAACCGTGTTCGCAATATTGCGTAAAAATCAGCAAGTCGTGTGGATGGCTTTGTACATAATTCCCTGGGCAATCATAGTATCTGACGACATTCTCATGCGATAGTGCCTGGAATGTTCAATACTTTTCTTTTGGCAAAAGTACCTTTAATGTATCTAGTTCCCTCCATTGGCAAGAATAATCCTGCTTGCGTAGCGCCTTTTTCACGACCATTTTGCTGTATGGGGTATGGATTTAATAGATGGCAATGAAAATCACTTACGGAACTGCCTCGCTGAGAAGCCATACTTGGCCATATGCACCACGGCCGATCCGTTTTAGCCCTTCGTCGGTTTTGAGGAAAATTTGCCTGCAGGGACTTTCATATAAATCAACAATAACACTTACGGAACTCCCATTACCAATACCTGCGCTTTCTCTAAAGGGGCAATATCGGAAAATGTTCAGGTAGTCGCGAAAATTAGGGTCTGAGGTATCCCGGTAAAATTAAGCTTTTCCTTGCGCCATATATTTATTTTATTATTATTAAGTGGATCGAACAAATGCACAGCTTTGTTGGACATAGCACATAGTTGACACAGATCAAAACAGATCGTGGAACCGGTGAATACATCCTTCCATCTACGGAGTAGCGCTGCTAAAAGGAAAAATCGAATCATAATATGATATAGCATTGGACCGAAAAAGTACCAAAGAGGGGAAAATTTTGGCACTTCGCAAAGTTTCAGACGTAATTTCTGCTATAACTTCTGAAATCCGAGCGCTTGCAAGCTTCTGAAATCAGTGGCATCACCAAAAGATTTCACAGTGTGCTGGCTCATCTTCGAAATAACGTCTTTTCCTGAACAACTCACAGGATTTTCGTCCAAAACTCGTTTATCAAAGGGCGCATAACCTCTGGAGCTACGCCTTCTAAAAGAATTTGGTTTCGCCCAGAGAATGAAGTTTACTCCATTGACTCGGCGGCGTCTTATAATGATCTCGCAATACAATGATCATCGGCATAAGGTCGGCTATTCGCACAGGAGTGAATCGCGGCACACCCAGTTTTTGGGTGGCCTGGACGAGTTTCATTTGATTGTCGATGAAGGTGCCGCGAGACCTATCCAGATGAAATTGAAACAACAGCGCTTGGGTGCCATCTTCCACTGTTGACAACTTGAAAAAGAACACCCATGGCCTTTCCTTAGCCCCGCATTCACTTAGAAAAGCCTCGATCAACTGCTGACCCCATGGATCTTCATTCTCCCATCGTCCAATGTATTTCAACGCCCTTGTCATTAATGTGTAAGTTTCCATATAGTCGTTTTGATGGATCGTTAAACATTCATGAGATGGGACTTGAGAATCTGCGTCTGCCCAACTAGGATATCCACCGGTAATAGCGCATTCGCCCTCAATGCATTGATGTGTTGGTGGGATGCCGTGGCGAAAGAAATAGCCATCGAATGGTTGGATTTCACTCGTTTTCAGGCATGTCAATGCGCCATCCGTCTCACTGATATCCAGTATCGGCAATTGGACCACCATTTCCCATGGCAAACCGCAAGTCTCGCGCAGTATCGTTGCAAATAAAACACGCTGATTTCGCAGTTTCCTTTTGTAATATGTGCGTGCCTCCATTAACGCTCTGCGAATCTGTTCATTATTCAATGGCTCCCATTCTCCAGTATAATGTCTGGGTAATAAAATATTTTTATAATGACCGGCACGGGTTTCGGTGCCATCTTTCCGTAGAAAAATTCCATGATCGGAAATATCATACCATGAATAGCGGGAGTCTTCCAGGTTGATGATTTGATGTACGGATCTTGTTGTAAAGGTTTTGGCCATGTCTTCAATGTCTTTGATGGCTTGGTCGAGGTGCAGTAGTATGTCCCAATGAGAAAGGGTTGCCCGATCAGTTTCTGCCAGTGTCCGTATTGCAAAAGCCTGCGAATCTTCCTGCTGGTACCGGTCCCCTTCAGCTAACAAACGAAATATAGCCGAGATTTCTGGGAATCGCATCGTCTCGTTGGAAATCTTCATCGAATCCAACAACGTTTGATCCAGTCCAAAAGTGAGTCTTTTGGCTATTGTCTTGAAATCGATTTTGCTCAGCCTCTCCATCAATTCAGCACATTCATATTGATTCTCAATCGTCATACTAGACAGATTTGTCAATATTTCTTCACACATCTCTTTTCTGCTTCTAGACTCCCAGAGACGATTATGCAATATGCGTACTCTGACTTCGACAGTAGTCCCCAGCTTCTCTTTCAGTTCCATTAGTAATCTTTCTCGCGGGTCAAGCTTAGCCGGCACCACATTGGATTCATGAACACCTATTTCAGCTTGCGATAAAGTCGCACAGAATGAGTTTGTGGTATCAACTGGGGCCAATTGAAGCCTCGCTCTCAGCCGTTCACTCAATCCAATTGGCGGCATAAGGCTTTTTGGTTTTCGATCGGGATCCGGCTTGGCATGAAAGCCTTTAAACTCCTAGACTGCGATTCTTAGAAATCTCTTGGTTAGTCACTACCTCAGATATTGTTTTGCATAATTCCAAAGCTTTTTCTACGCCGAATCGTTCTTCTACGCTGTCCTTCGTGCATCTAAAAATACATAGCTGCGGGTGAATGCTATTTTACCCTACAACCAGGGCTCTAAAAGTGTCTGACAATTCATCCTGCAATATCCCATCAACATCTTGGCTGCCCGGATTTCTAGGTTCGGAAAAAGATAGGCTATCCTTTTGGCCGAGTGATACCCCTATCAACCATATCCAAACATGTCCACCCAGCACCGTAAATATCACATTTATACACATCCTAAACATATTTGTAATTATGTAATCAAGCATTTTCATAAAATACCTCTCCCTCCGCTTCTTGATCACGATTTAACACTTCTGGTGCCATATAACCGCGGGTACCGCCTCGTAAAATTGCACCAATCATCACATCCCGAACGATACCAAAATCGCCTAGTTTCAGGGTATAATCATGGCCATGGACAAATAAGCTAAATTACGATTGATTGCGAATTCCATCAGGTTATCAAACTTGTCCGGTTTGACATCATGATGAACCTTTTTCATACTTTTGATATATTCGAGCGCACTGAACATTTCCCTCGCCCATTTGGCTACTGTGGCCATTGAGTAGACCAAATTCGTGTCTTTTAGAACTAATCTAGCTTATTATCGATTTTGCATGATTAGAATCACCCTGGTTCAATGACCCGTGCTCGCAGTATTCCATGAATATTAATAACTGATCGCGATCGATCCCCGGGTAATTCGCTGGCTCATCATAATATCGGACGACGTGCTCGTGTGACAGTTCCTGATTGTGATTGCATTCCGAAATGACATTTTAGACAGCAAATTCAGTAGCTTTTGTAAGGAAATACCTTCAGTGCTCGTATCTCCCTCAAATAACCGGCATAATCATTCGTGTGAAATACCTTCTTCATCACCATCGGTCTTTCCTTGGTAATTCATCAATTGAGATGAAATCGCTCACGGATCCGTTTTCTTGAGTAGCCACACTTCGCCTTGTCCACCACTACCCAAGAGAATATTCCATGGATCGGGATTACGGTTAAGTGGCTGGTTCTTGCTGTTAATCGAACTGTGGAAAGGCAAACATTATTAAAAAGCGTTACGATTGCTTTGCAGCTGCGATTGTTGTAAAGGCATCTGTCATCCTGCAATCACATTTCTATAAAAGCAGAGGCAAAGATGGTTATTAATTTGTTTTCTATCGATTTTCTATGAGCAAGGCAATGCTCCAAAGATAAATTATAGCAAGCAAAATCGATAGAAATCTTGCTTCTCCCGATAACGCCCAAAGCAGATATTTGTACGAACGGGGCAAAAGCGGCCTGCCGCTGCCAAAGAGCCAGATAAGGGGCCTGGAAAATGTTCTAAAACATGCGGGCTATCGGGGGATCGCCGAGGAAAACGCTTGGCTGCATTTTTGTCTCGTTTTACAGCTACATCTTGAGAAATCCTGCATTTCTGGATGAAAAACGGTTAAGAATTGGCTAAAAAAGAGTATTTTGGCGATAACTCGAAAACTACACAGGGTGTCCCAAAAAAAACCACCCCCCCCTCGGCATTTCGCCGTCTTCTAGCCGATCGGGACCAATTTTTTACCAGCGATGGGGACCCACAAAAACTATGTGCAGCCGAATTTTCTAAGCAAAATATTGTAAAACAAAAAAGTTATATCGAAATTAAGCTTTATTTTGCCGATTTCACCATGATTTTGATGGATTTGCCCCTCAATGTTTAGCAAAAATGAAGAGGGCACTTTTTTCCATCCCGAGAAAATTTTTGATTTACGAAAATTACGTCTAATGGGACTTTTAATCACTTTTTATTATCAAAACCAGCGCCCAAAACCCGCTTCGCGGGCCTTGGGCGCTGGAATGCGGCCTTTACATGAGAAATTTGACTTTCCGATAGCGCGGGTCCTTCGGACCCCCCCCCCCCCCGACCACACGCGCGCGTGCAACTTGCAAGAATGAGGAAATTTGTATTTTTCCACATTATGGAAATTAACCCTCAGAAACCCCAAAAATGAGTAAAACCGGCTTTAACTTTGTAAACTTATATTTTATCAAAATTCTGAAGACGCGATCGGAAACAGAAGGGTCGATTCCCCCAAGTGACGGAGAATTAGGACGTTTTGGAAACGGGAAGGCCCTCAAATCGGGCCTCGAAACTGACATCCACACACACACAAAGATACACGCCAAAATTGAATTGGTATCATAATGTAGTTGCATAGTTTCTGAGTGTCGCCATTGTTTATCGAAAATGATCAAGTGATTCACTCCAAGCATCTGAAAGTTGTCTCGATTGACCTAGAGTGACAGCGCCTCGATTCATTCCCGGATATTGCTACAAGAATCGGTTGTGCGTCTGCCTCGTCGTATGAACTCCATTCCTAAAGCAAAACGATTAACTTGAGTTTCAGATTTTCAAGCTCACATAATTCGCTGCCAAAACTTGTGGCGGGCGCGGCCGGATGGACTCGTATAGCCTACAAAACATATCTTAGCATATCGCTGTTAGGACTCACGATTGGCTTCCGGTCTATCTGCTTTTTGTATCGCAAGAAGCATCGGCAATAACTCGACGAGCTGTACGGCCACAAATCGTACAAATGTTGCGCCGTCTCCAAAAGATAGGCCCAATGGGCCCATTGGCAGCAGTTTCATCTCATCACCAATGTACGTTCCACGGCCTGTAGCCGGATGATATTGGAATAACAGGGCATTTGAGCCATCCTCCATCTCGACCAACGCAAAGTAATGCACCCATGGGCGTTGTTTGGTCTCGATTTCGCGGATTAATTTGGCGATTAGGGCGTAGAGACAATCATTCCAAATGTCTGGCCGGGTGATGCATTTTAGGGCTCTCGTCATCAACGTGTAATCTTCAAGGTAATCAATTTGATCCGGGCTCGAGCATTGGTGATAATGATTTTGGAATTGACCTTCGACGCCTTGTGGGAATCCGCCGGCATTTCTGCACCGTCCATCACGGCATTGATGATGTTTTGGAGGGTAACCATAGACAAAAAAATATCCCGGAAATGGAAGCATGTCCAATTCTTTCAATAATTGCCTGCCAGTATTTTCAATAATATTTGCATCAAAGGCATTCAGCAGCATCGCAAAAATGTCACTCACAAAACTGCCCTCTCCTTTCTCAATGTCAACCCGATATTTGCGTATTTTCTTTTGAAAAGCAGTCCTCGCGTCGATTAATGCTCTTCGGATCTGTTCGTTATTCAACGGCTCGTTCTGGTCATCAGTGTCATTGTAAAAGTTTTGGAATGGCCGCGTTTCAGTGCAGTCATAACGAAGCAATAGCTGTAGACGCTTCAAAACTAGCCACGAATGCCGGGATCCCTCCAAATTGACGACCGGATAGAAGGCCCTGATTGTAAAGGTTTTCCGCAATTCTTCGATGTCATGTATCGCCTGGTCGAGCAGTTGTAGGATATCGACGTGCGAAAGGGTTGCCTGATCCGTTTCGCTCAGTATATCAATCCCAAAGTCTTGCCAATCGTATTGTTGACGCACATCCCTCATGATCAGCACCCGAAACCTTGCAAGGGTGGCAGATACTAGGTTCGGTAAATTTTGTTCGATCATATAATGTTCTGGCCGAAGCACACAGTCAGCGTCTTCCAACAACTGCGGTGCTTCGACCTTCAAAAAGTGCTCCATCTTGTCAGCACATTCATATTGATCCTCGATCGACAGATTGGACAATATTTCGAGAATTTCATCGCACAGTTCTTTTCTGGTTTTCTGGCAGTGTTGATGGTGTATGCCTTGACAGTCAAAAAATCCATGTGGCTGCTTGCAAAGGCCATCCACCACTTGAACAACATTGCCTTTGAACTGAACGGGAAGTGCTAACTTCTCTTTGAACTCGATCAGCAATCTTTCTCGAGGATCAGAAATTGGCCTGGGTTGTTCATCAACTGCTTCCACAGTCCCAAAGTCACAAAAAGAGTTGATCAGGGTTGGTGGTCGAAGTGAACGCTTATTCTCGTCATCGTATCCAATAGGTGCTTCCAGCCACTGACGATTTTGGTTCGGATCTGGCTTTGCGTGTAGCTTCTCGAAATCCTGCAGTTGCATGATCACGCTATATTATTTGCATGCCATACCATCTTTATTGTATTACATAATACAGTGCTCCACATAATCTTAGGTCCACCCCCCAAAATTGGGAAATAAAAATTTTTAGGTACTTTTATGAAAAGGCAACAATATCAGCGTAGGGTAAAAGGTATTGCAAAAATATACCACAAGAGCCAATGCCGATAAATGGTTAGATAAAATCATTAGCCAGAAAAACATGAAGAACCCATTTTGGCGACTCCACATAATCTTAGGTCCACCTAGCTTTACGAAAAAACGCGTGGGCCCAGAGTGCTTCATCGAAGATCTTTTGCTTAATTAGACCCTCAGCTACTCATTGAAACGAAAAAACTTGGTTGCCAAGCTCTGGGACGATTTTTGAAAAATCGGTATTTAACAAAGGAATTTAGTCTTTTCAATTCTAAAAAACCAAAAAGCAATTCCCTTCGATTCAATGACCAAGTACGAAATAGCACTACAAAATGCGGTCAGTTTCTTATACCGGCACACCCGCAAAATAATCAACGAAGCTTATTGAAACGCCTCCGAAGGTCCTACCATGGCTGGCGTAGGCCGGGCTAATGCATTTCACAGCACCCAGACTTTGTCCGATTCTCATAAACTTGGGGATCAAAATGCCAAGGGTTTTAGGATACAGAAATGACCGCAATTAGAAGCTTTTTCAGCTACGGTAGTCAAATCCCGGCTCTACGCCGCTTTTCGATTTCTTAGAATTAAAAACCAAATTTCTTTGTTAAAATCCGATTTTTCAAAAATCGTCCCAGAGCTTGGCAACCAAGTTTTTTCGTTTCAATGAGTAGCTGAGGGTCTAATTAAGCAAAAGATCTTCGATGAAGCACTCTGGGCCCACGCGTTTTTTCGTAAAGCTAGGTGGACCTAAGATTATGTGGAGTCGCCAAAATGGGTTCTTCATGTTTTTCTGGCTAATGATTTTATCTAACCATTTATCGGCATTGGCTCTTGTGGTATATTTTTGCAATACCTTTTACCCTACGCTGATATTGTTGCCTTTTCATAAAAGTACCTAAAAATTTTTATTTCCCAATTTTGGGGGGTGGACCTAAGATTATGTGGAGCACTGTACTATCGCTTGTGTCACACCAAATCGGTCTTCTACAAGTTGTTTTGTGCATCTAAAAAGATTGCGACATTACTGTCAACTGCCCTACTTGATAACAAGCCACTTCAAGTTTTTTAAATGCGCCATTCCCTCATTCAATACCCCATCAACGTCTTGACTGCCCGGATTTCTAGGTTCGATAATTGATTGGCTATTCTGCCTTCGACGATACCCTCTATTAACCATATCCAAACATGTCCATCCAGCGCCATAAATATCACATTTATACACATCCTAAACTGCCTATAAAGGTCCTCACCAGTCCTAACTAACCTCTCCCTTCACTTCAATGCCATTCAATACTTCCGGTGCCATGTATCCGTAAGTACCGCCTCGTAGGTTTGAACTCGTCTTTAAATCCCGGACAATCCCGAAATCTCCCAATTTCAGGGTATAATCATGGCCATGGACGAATAAACTAAATTAATTCATTCGAGAGTCCATCAGGCGCTCAAACTTGTCCGGTTTGACATCATGATGAACCTTTTTCATACTTTTGATATAGTCAAGGGCGTTGAACAGCTCGGAACACCATTTGGCTACCGTGGCCATTGAGTAAACCAAATTCTTGTCAGCCAGCACTGAACAAATGGTAATAATGACAGGCCGTTAATTCAATATATAATCGTACCATCTCGTAATGATCCATGTTCACAATATTCCATAAACATCAACCATTCTTTCGGATCGATACCGGGATAATTGCTTGGTTGGTCATAATATCGGACAACATTCTCGTGCGACAATTCCTGAAGGAAGTATTAATAACAGGCAATATATTTTGACAGCAACAACATACCATCAACGTTCGTATCTCTCTCAAATAGCTGGCATAATCATTTGTCTGCAGCACCTTTTTCATGACCATTGGCCTGAGAAGCTAAGGTTAATAAATATTTAAAAGGGGCAATGCTTTTTGACAATTGGCATGTAGCCAACCGAGTAAAGATCGACGAGAGAGCACGCCTAATGCAGAGATGCCGAGCGACCGGCTACATGCCAACTGTCTCAGCCCATTTAAGGTATAACATACGGATCGGTGTCGGGCAGAAGACATACAACCCCTTGGCCACCTTGCCCAAGCACTCTCATCATCCTTAACCTGTAACATTTGGATTGTATATTTGTCTTTGCAACAAGAAGGAAACATGCCTGGCCGCGGAAAAAGATAACGGAATTGTGGACAGGGCTGCTGAACAGATTTCAGTATCGATTCGTCAGGGTTGGGTTATATTTCGGAAAATCAGATTCCCGAAAATCCGAATCTCAAAAAATAGGAATCCCTAACTCTTACTTTTAATTTTCCATTGTTGTTTAAAATTTGCCAATTTGTGAAGTGTTTTGTAAAAAAAATCTTGATCTCCTGGTAGGTTTTCCAGCGGAATGGGCAAAAGGCAAGGTCGTGAAGTGAAATTTGGCCGTTGACTAGTCATCCAGCCTATCCGATTTGGTTTTTCCCGCCGATTCCGAATACGTTGCCAGTTTTTGACTAGTGGCTGTATTTAAAAATTAATTGCGTTCCATTTATTACATTAATTAAGAATACATGCGTATTATTTTCGTTTCACGATCTAAATCAATATAAGTTATAGTTGAATCGATTGGCGTTCGTTGCCACCCTATAGCAAAGCGGTTGCCACCTTTTCTCTAGAGCTCACTTCGTTAATGCAATGAATTCAATTTTTTGTTAAATAAATAACAAGTTGTCAGACTCGGAAGCTGAATAAACGGATTTGCTGTAGCGCTTTGGACGCATTCAAGCATGCAACCGAATAAATTATTTTATTTAATGCTTTGAATACGGAAACATATTGTTGATGGAGACTGGTGGAGCCGACAGATCGAACGACAGAAATTCTTGTTTAGCTGCAATCGCATCACTCGGATCCGGGTACCTAAAAGCGAAGTATTTCGGAAAGTCTTCACAACTCGGGACCATACATTTGGGAGATCAGCGGTCTATAACACCATTATATGGCTGAAGCCATCATTCAAAAATTCTTCATCTTTATTCCCTTTCTACTCTATACGGTCCTTTTAGTGGCCAAAATACCCGGGCTTTGATAAAACGCACGTTCGCCCATGATAGCGGAGGAGCCATTTTTTTTGGTAATCACATTGTGTTGCCGGGGCAAAATTATCCAAATAACGCTGAAACGTCAAAACGCTCTGCCAAAATTCGGATCGTTTGGAAAAATGGTGGCCTTCTGGCCCGTGGTCTGTCAAAAATTACTAAAACTGGCTAAAAACTTCAAATGTCGTTAGGACGGGTTTTTATAATCAAATCGTCAAAAATCACGAATAATTTAAATTAGGGAAACGTCTTTACTTCGAAAGTCATTATTTCGCAAAGTATGCTTACAATGAGACGTTTTTTAGTGTCCACGGAGTTTTGAAATGGGAACGAGCTTATCTTATGCAGAATTTTTTGCTGATCAAAACTTTCCCTCAGAATCCGCGAAACAATCATATTTCAAAAGTTATGAAGTTTTAAAGGGGCTCGGAAGCCAAAATTCGTTTTTGCGTCCAAACAGGGGCAAAAGATCATGCGGCGCCGTCGCGTTGCGGCCGCATCTGGCTATTTGCCAGGAATCACAGCAGGCGGCCGCGGACCAGATCTCGGAGCCCCTTTAAAGTGTGGAAATGCCCAAAATGGCCAGCTTTTGCCGTTTTTCGCCTTTTAAAGCATCATAACTTTCTTATTTTGGTCGTTTCGCAGATTCGGAAAACGAGGTTTTAACCGGCGCAAAATTCTGCATAAAATAGGCTTGGTCCCATTTCGAAACTCCGCGGACACTAAAAACGTCTCCTTGTTAGGCTTTTTGTTTTGCTTTTTGTGGAAAATGTTCCTAATGCAATGTCATGGCACTAGATAAAAATGTGCGGTCGTTTGAGGATATCGCGCGTAGGCTAGTAAAGCATGAAAAAGTGCACGCTGCCTCCAACGAAGCAGGAAGGTCGTCCGCATCGACTTCAGATGTCTGTTGTTTCGCTTGCAGAGATTTGACTTGCATCTTAACATACGGTTCAGCGCTCCTAAAATGAATGAAGCAAAGTTACAAGCTAACTGACATGATATCTTTCCAGAAATCTTGGGAAATGCGTTGCATGGTTTTGTTTGTGGTGCGGTATTCTAAAAGGGTTGCAATTGACCTGTGAAACAGAGCTCACCGATGTCTGTTTTATAAGGGCCATATTTAAAAGGCCGTCCGTGGGTCACCCGAACAAGGCTTGGTACAGTTTTTTTCAACCCTGTTTTTTTGACGTCATCTGAAAGAGCATAGTCGCATTAGTAGGGTGGCACTATTTTGAGATTTTTAAAAGTTTATTTTCCTAGTTAAATTTGCCGCTAAAGTAGCAAACCTCAAAAAATTATCTCGAAAACTACCGGGCCGAATGTTCTAAAATTTTCTGACTAGGCCTGATTTGGGATGGGGATCATTTTTCTAATACATTGCAACGCACGAAAATGGCCGGAACATAGGTATATTGCGCTCTAAAAACAGTTTTTTACAGTTTTCGACTTGATGGGTGTTCGGCCGCATCATGAGACTAGCATAGAAAGATGCGCAATTTTTTTCTGCATCGATTGATGTATCTTTTATCGGGCGGCCAGACACCCATTTGCTCGAATATTCCATTTAGTGCGCTCAAAACGCAGGAAAAATGGACCCGAAAAACGCAAAACAAAAAGTTTTCGGATTTTGAAGCATGAGAACACATCTAGAAGATGAGCTGAAGCTATTGCAAAAAAGAGCAAAAAGAAATAACATTTTTAAAAGGGGTCTGAAATCCGGCTGGAATCGAACCCGGGTCGTGTGCCTGGGAGCCCTGTGGCGCAGTGAGTAGAGCGTCGGCGTGCCAATCCAGAGCTGCCGCCAGTTCAATCCCAGCCCCCTCCAAAAAGCTGAATTTCTTTTTGCTCTTTTTTGCAATAGCTTCAGCTCGTCTTATAGATTCGTTTTCATGCTTTAAAATCCAAAAATTTTTTGTTATGCATTTTTTGGGTACATTTTTGGCGCGTTTTGAGCGTACTAAATGGAATATTCGAGCAAATGGGTGTCTGGCCGCCTGATAAAAGATACATCAATCGATGCAGAAAAAAATGGCGCATCTTTCTATGCTAGTCTCATGATGCGGCCGAACACCCATCAAGTCGAAAACTGCAAAAAACTGTTTTTAGTACGCAATATACCTATGTTCTGGCCATTTTCGTGCGTCGCAATGTATTAGCAAAATGATCCTCATCCAAAATGAGACATAGTCACAAAATTTTAGACCATTCGGCCCGGTAGTTTTCTAGATAATTTTTTGAGGTTTGCCACTTTAGCGGCAAATTTAACTAGGAAAATAAACTTTTAAAAATCTCAAAATAGTGCCACCCTACTAATTTGACTATGCTCTTTCAGATGACGTCAAAAAAACAGGGTCGAAAAACACTGTACCAAGCCATATTGGGGACAGGCCGGATGAGCCGCGGACGGCCTTTTAAGCATGCCCAAGAGCATCGGTTTCATATGGGATAATTGGACAGGAACCAGTTGCAGAGACTCTGCTCGAAAAGCGCCGAATTTGACCAATTGCATCATGCCTTGCAGGAAGACGATAGCGGGCTCTTTTACTATTATAAGCGCATTAGAGCCATCCATCCGTTGGACCAACGGGAAATAGAATTTCCGCCGTCTTTCTTTTGACTCGATTTCGGTTAGCAATCTGTGGGCCATTCGGTAGGTCCAAGGATCGAGCTGGTCCCATCGCGTGATGTATCCCAGAGCGCTTGTCATCAACGAGTACTCCTCGATGTACTCAATTTGATCCTTTGTCGAACAGTGGTGATATGGAATTTGAAGTTCAGGGTCTGCTGTTACTGGAAATCCGCCACGAATGCCACACTCCTCTTTAAGACACTGATGTGTTGGAGGAATATCGTAATGGAAGATGTATGCAGGAAATGGTTGTTCCGGAAACGCACGCAATACGTCAGCCCAGTCGTGACGAATTGAACACCTATTTCCCAGCATCCAGTCAGGCAACATTTGCTCTCTAACCCAGTCGGGGAGACGGGGAGCGAGTCGCAGGACCACAACTTTCCTTTTAAAATACGTGCGCGTCTCGATTAATGTCCTTCGAATCTGTTCATTATTTAATGGCTCCATATGGCCAGTTGTATGGTAACGCAATCGATCTGAACCAGCTCTACGGTTGCGAATCTCGGTACAGTCTTTCCGCAAGAATAGACCCAGCCGGGAAATTTTGAACCATGAATTTCGGGATCCTTCCAAGGTCACAGTGCTATAGACGACTCTTACGGTAAACAGTTTCCTTAGTTCTTCAATATCATGGATGGCTTGGTCGAGTAAATGGATGATATCCCATGGAGGAAGTGTTCCACAAGCAGTTTCATGGAGCATCGCAATGCCAAAAGCTTGTGATGCCTCCTGTTGCAGTTTGTCCCTCCAAACCAGGAACAAAAAAGGCTTCATGGTTCCTGGTATTGACTCTTTCAATTTATATGATAGTGATTTTAAGGCATCAAGAATCTTCTGTAGTCCGTCAAGGCCAAGCATGAAAAACTTTGGTGCATCCACTTTCCACACTTTTTCCATATCCTCAGCGTAACTGCGCTGCTTCTCCATCGATAGATTTGACAATATCTCCAGAATTAGATTGCTTAGGTCATTTCTACTCTTCTTGCAGTCCCTGTGGTCACAATTCTCAACCAACATCCCTTGGATCAAATTCACTCTCTTGCAAGCCTTTAGGTTTTCTCCAAAACTAGGTGCCTCGAAAGTAGCTGTTGTACCGAGCTGCTCTTTCAAATCCATTAGCAACTGTCCTCGCGGATCAGCCTTTGGATTCGGTTGTTTC